TTATGAGGGTAGTACCCTAGAATATTTCCCCGGTAATAAGGGAAAAGCAGGTTTTAGAATGTTTGCACTCTGACTTGTTTCCACTGAGTGCCAAAGATCTAATGATAGTAGCTGAACCACATGGCTGCAACAAAGCTTCAGAAGCTGGATGGCGATCCAGACGGTTATTTATTAGCTGAGAGCATTCACTGAGCACTCACAGGCAATGAATGAAATTCTGTGCATAGAAATCCACACATAAATTACATTATCCAGGCTAAAGATGCCCCAACAACGCTGCCTGAGTTGTATTTACACATCCAGCAGCAAAGTTGTTAAGCACAATAGGTGTAGCATTTCATAGCAAAACGCTGCTCTTACCCTCTCCACGCAAAATTACTACTTGAAATCACTGAAGTGGTCATGGTGCTTGAAGTAACCCTTTAAGGCCAAAATAGTCAAACTGAACAAACTCAGCTATTTTTCCAGTTTAGCTACCTAAAATTTTAAATTCACTTTGAATTCTCACAAGTGAATAAACCTGATTCAGATTGCGGTAAAGTTGCTGCACGTGTATGTTATGAGACAAGTGACTAAATACAGATGTGATTTGAAGAGTGCTGGAAATTTCATTGGAATTTTCTTATATATTCCTTGGAGAGCTAATTTTTCACCCTCAGCCATTGTAGCAGGAGTGCAAGGCCAAGACGCACATAAGAGACTGGACACAGGTTCTCAGGAAGCAAACAATTGTTTATTTTATGGCCGGCCAGCTTCAGCCAGACACGTGTCTGTAAAAAGCTGAGCAATTTGTTACAAATGAACAAAGCTTACATATCATAGATAACATAGTTTATACGTATAGAGGAAATACAAGAGTTACACCCATACTGCAGCAATTAATAACCTATTAGTGTGATGGGATTCCAGCATGGTTAAAATTTAGTAGGCCAAAATCTCCATGTGGCATATGTGTATGTTGTGTCAGTTGGTTAGCTACATGTAGCTAGGATACTGTCATCAGTGTACTGAGCATGTGCAGGAATGCAGGAACTGAAATTGCACTTATTTCCTTTGTCTTGGATGAGCCATGTGGTTTGACTAGATGTACAAGTCTATATTCTGCTCATTGATTGGTCTGAGGAATATAGGAGGGGTTATACTGTATGGGAGGAGATATGCAGTTAACAAAAGTCCCAAGCCACAAGTATATGTCTCTCAGAATGTTGGAACAGGAGTTCATCTGAGACCCGATCGGTAATGTGAATAAAGGCCTGTTACTTCCTGAAGACCTGTGTCCAATATTTCTGTGTTTGGCTTCTGCATGCTTACACTGCAACATTTCTGGTGCAATTGGGCCGGGAACCTCATCGCACGGAAGCTGGCACAGAGATTTGAGACGGTAAACTTTTACCAAACCTTCTACGCTACAATCCTGGACTTCTACTGCGTGGACCTCCTTTCGTCTCGGCGCCACTGGCCTTTTGTCCAGGAGATCATCGGCTTCTGCGCAGTGAGTCCCAGATTGTTCCGTCTATGAGTGAACCCAGGTCCAGGATTAACAGGTGAGATTGATACCGTTAGAGCGGTAGACCCACAAGGGGTTTTATATTTGGAACCGGTTATTGGAATCTGCCCTGTCCTTATGGATGGAAGAAGTGAAAAGCGCAACACTTATCTGGAAATTAGACGCTCTGTAGTCAGCCCGTCTAATATAGGTGGTTTGGGTCAGACTGAGTTCTGGTGTAAATAGCTCATGTCGGACACCGGTGTCCTGTCTTGACTAGCGTATCTAGGGTGTAAATTTTGTTCGCTAGGTCGGGGGGACCGGGAGACTAGCATACTCTGTTGTATATTATAGTTTGCTAGATTTCACCCTATCTTAACTAAGTGTGCTCTGTTGTAAATCCAGCCACTAGCTTATTGATAGTTTAATAGACTAGCTGGGTACTGTGTAAATTCTGCCCTCTAGTTCGCTATACGTGGTGTCTGGGCAGCGAAGAACTTATCGAATCTCTGGTGTATAAATAGATCGAAAGCTCTCGAGGTGCTGGCCAGTTAGAATAGTTGGGATTATTGTAAATGTTGTTAAATATATTGTAGTTGGTGAATTGGTTAACTTGTATGTCCTACTAGAACGTTAGAGCTCTGCTGTCTAGTGGGAGTGTAAATTGTGTGTATAACTGTAAAATAGCGCACGGTACCATAACTACTGACATGTACCATAACCACTGACATTGTGTAAAAATTACTAACAATTGCTGTTTTATGTTATATGTATAATACCATAACTGTTACTAACTGATCTGTGACTTTAAAACTGTATTATAACCACTTACTAACTGTACCATAACCACTGACTGTAAAGATGAGGTTACTAGAATGTGATATAGTTGGTTAGTCAAGAGTTGATTTATAGTACAGATAATTGTAGAGATGAAATCTGTTGAAATGTTATGTGATCGGTTAGTTTATATGGATTAATAGCGTGGATAGTTGTATGGTTTGAATAATAGTTACATTGATAAGTGTATAGTCTTTGGTGGGTTTTTGATTTAATTTCGTGTGTGCGACGTCGTGATATTGTTGAGCATGTGAGGATCCTGTGTGTGTGTTTGGGCCTAGTGACTGCGCAATGTGTTGCTGGTGATAAGGAGATTGGTGTGACTGTTGAAACTGTGTATATTTGTACAGCTTTTTGAATCAGATGCTCTGTTGAAATAATCTTCTGATTCACAAGGCTTTGTCTTGTATGTTTAAAAAAAAAAAAAAAAAAAAAGTAGGGAGTAGCTTGTCCTGGTGGCTGCATGGCCTCCATGTAGCAGTCTTCACTTAAATTTAGTGCAGGGTGTACATGTGGCTGTAACTAGTAGGCTGGAATTCTATGATCAGTTTCTATAAATTGACTGTTGGAAACTGATTGTTGAAAACTGCCTTGGTGAATTAAACTGTGTCATATGGGAAACAATGTAGCCATATGGTGGTCAGAACTAAGGACTTAATTACAACTGCTTTGGACATCCCCTCCCCCCTGGCATCTGATTACCAACCCCCCCAAACATCCTCCAGAGCCAGAGTAGCCACGCCCATTTCTTACTCCCAAAACTGGTATATAGTCAGTATTTGCACTCTCCCTGCTCTACTGTCCCCGCCTACCCACATACCTATCTGTTCCTGTGTTTCAAACTCTTGTATTTCTGTACTACCCCTCCCCCTAATCAATGATCAATGGTATCAGATGGTATATGGTCTTTATTTTAGTTACTGGATGGGCCCCTCCCAGCTTTGTCCAAAATGTCCCCTTTTTACTAAACTACAAACTGAGATGTTTAATTTACTTTAGAACTAAAGATTTAATCAAGCCTAGATATCAGGGTGGACATTGATTAAAATAAGTAATAATAAAATAGGACATAATTAATTAAAGTCTATTTGTTTCATTTGACTTTAGGGAGGCACTCTAAGCCACCTACTGGCCATCTTCGGGAGTTACATTGATAATACATTGTTTATAACAGATAGATGTAGGATTGCTTACCCTATTTTAATATATTTATTGCTATAAGGTTTTATTTTATGTATAAATATATTAAAAGTTGAGTTTTCTTATTAGACCCATAAAGATTATTTTGATACAATTACCCTCTGGTGACACCTACTGGTAGGTTTTTGGTTTAACACTTTAAAATAAAAAAAAAAAAATTTTTCATCCACCAAATGCTGACTAATAAAATTAGCTCACCCCCTTTCACCTATTTTACTAATCCTAGACTGTAACCTATTATTGGGCAGCCTTGCCGAAGTCCCATATTAGACACTGCTTGAGTCAAATAGGTTGTATACTCCCTTTAATCCAGAGGCCCCTGAAAACTTCCGAATTATAGATTCAGCATTTGTCAGCCAGGCCCAAGGTGATATTAAAAGGAAATTACAGAAATTAGAGGGATTTGCAGGGATGTCCATAATACAGCTAATGGAGATTGCAAATACAGTATATATGAATAGGGAGACGGAGGAAGAACGTAAAATGAGGAAAAAGGCAGATATGCTAGCGGTAGCTGTCTTAAGTGTAGTAAGACAGGGAAGTGAATAGAGGAGACGAGAATAGGCTGAGCAAGGGACCTCTACGTAGGAATTAATGTGCGTATTGTAGAAAGGAGGGACATTGGAAGAGTGAGTGTCCACAGAGAGAGCAGTATGAAGGTGATAGACAAGGAGAGAGAAGGGTACGAGGAGGTTATAGTGGTCGTTATAGAGTAAGAGGAAGTTTTAGAGGGAATGGTGGGAATAGTAGAGGAAGTGTTCAAGGAGACAGATACTATCCACCCATGCAGAGACCTAGAGAAAGAGAGGATAGAGATTTTGTGGGTCTGGCTGACACTATCATGGAAGACTATTGATACCGACTGGGCTCCATCCCACTTGGTTGAGCGGAGCCTATGGTCGATGTAGCAATAGGGGGAAAGAGAAGTTCTTTCATGATCGACACAGGTGCTGAACATTCTGTGGTGACTAAGATGGTGGCTCCGCCTTCGGGGAAGACTATAACTGTGATAGGAGCTACTGGGAGAAGTGCAGCTAGACTGGTTCTTAAGAGTCGCACTTGTATTCTGGGAGGCCATGTGGTGAAGCATTAGTTCCTATATATGCCAGAGTGTCCGATTCAACTTTTAGGACGAGATCTATTATCGAAGCTTTAAGCTCAGATAACCTTTTACCTAATGGATTAACATCTCTGAAGTTTAAGGGATTACCAGGCATAATGGTGATATCGGTGCCAAGGGAAGAAGAATGACGCTTCTATTCCATAGTGACAAGTGTTAACCCTAAGAGTGATGAATCCTTATTTGACATTCCAGGAGTATGGGAAGAAAATAATCCTCCAGGACTTGCTCGTAATATCCCACCAATACATATTGAGTTAAAGCTCGGGGTGTATCCTGTTAGCCTTTGTATGTTGTTCTTTTATCTACCCCAACAGCTGTAAAGGTGGCGGAAGTGACTCCTTGGATTCATCATTCTAAGGTTAAACCAGCAGCAGACTCTTGGCAAGCTACTCCAGATCCTGAGAATCCTTGCAGGACCCGGTTGAAGCGTGCAACTTAGTCGGAGTGACGAGGGGATATTGAGACATTCTAGTTAAAAGTCTACAAAGATCATCAAGTAGGTGTTTTGACGGCCATAATAAAGCCTGACCACCTGCCTACGTGTCATAGCCAGAGTATCTTGAAGGGATCTCTGTGAAGGAAAGTGAGGATCAGAAGAACAACATCCTTGCAGCCCTCACAATCGGGAAGCTGAGAGGCCATCGCACGGTCGAAGAAAAATGAGGATTTCAGGAATAATGTGTTTTATTGTGTCTTAGTATTTTTATGATTTTTCAGGAAGGTAGGAGTACAGACATACCGAATTGCGATAGTTGCATTAAGACTACTAAAACAGGTAACCAAATATCCCAAACTCTCATCTGGCACTCACAGTATGAATGTAAGGGATCTGTATCTAAATGTAGATATTTGGATATTGATTATAGTGTGTGCAAGCCAATATCAGGAGAGTCTAAATGTTTTGATCCCCATTTCCAACCCCGTACAATTTGGTTGGTAATTCGGAATAGTAACTCCCAGGGGATATTAATAAATAGGACTGTGATAAGCACCATACATTCCACGGGTATTCTACTATTTGATGCATGTAAGGCGATTTCGGGTAGTGGAAGACTTTGGAATGTATGTGGTAATCTTAAATGGGAACGAACTTATGGGTTTAATGATAAATACTTATGTCCCAGTAAAAGATCTACTGATCCTGATTGCCCAAATAGAGACTAACTTCTGCCCCTATTTGTCATGTGTAGGTTGGGCAACCTGGGAAAAACAGTGGATCAAGATATGATTATCCAAAGGTTGCCTACCACACCATACTGTAAAACTATGTGTGTAACCCCGTTCACATGACCATTTCCAATCTGCAGTACTTTATTGACAGGTTTGGAGGTCTGTTTGGGTTCAAATATATGGCACAGGAGTAGATCCAGGAACAATAATATATGTAGGTCTTGAAACTGAGACAGTGGCAACTCAAACTCATCAGGTTTCTCATTCCTTCTATGAGGAGATGAGTACTGAGGATAAAATTCCCCATAATGTTAACAACCTATTTATTGATTTGGCTGAGGGTATTGCAGGTAGTCTTAATGTAACTAATTGCTATGTGTGTGGAGGTACTAATATGGGAGACCAGTGGCCATGGGAGGCAAAGGAAATATGGTACCCTGGCTCTGAGACATATGAACAACAGATACCTTTCCAGTCTGATCATCAAGTAAGTACTAGAAGTAAATTGGAATGGTGGTTTAAAACCTCCATTATAGGTCATGTTTGTATAGCCAGGAAAGGGACAATGTATAACACGTCTGTAGGTGAGCTAACTTGCTTGGGACAAAAAGCCTATAATGTTAATACTAAAAATACTACTTGGTGGTCAGCTTCAAATGTCTCGGAACCTACTAATCCGTTTGCCAATTACACTCATTTAAGGGAGGTATGGTTTGACTTATCGGCTACATCTAGTTGGAAAGCCCCAGCAAATTTATACTGGATCTGTGGTAAGAAAACTTATTCGGAGTTACCACAAGATTGGGAAGGGGCATGTGTATTAGGTATGCCAAAGCCATCCTTCTTCTTGTTGCCAATCGAAACAGGAGAGACCTTGGGAGTTAAGGTTTACGATGTAAATCATAAAAGGGAGAGAGCATCCTTGAATATAGGTAGCTGGGAAGATAATGAGTGGCCCCCTCAACGTATTATTAATTATTATGGACCTACTACTTGGGCAGAAGATGGCACTTATGGATATAGAACTCCGATTATATATGCTCAACCGCATTATTAGACTACGGGCGGTAGTTGAGATTATTACTAATGAGACAGCTCAAGTGCTTAATCTTCTAGCTAAGCAAAATACCAAGATGTGATCAGCCATATACCAGAATAGGCTAGCCCTTGATTACTTACTAGCAGTAGAAGGAGGTGTATGCGGAAAGTTTAATCTAAGTAACTGTTGTCTGCACATAGATGATGAAGGGCAGGCAGTGGCTGAACTTACAAGCCACATGGTTAAATTTGAGCATGTACCGACTCAGGTCTGGAATGGGTATAACCTAAGTATTTGGTTTGGAAGTTGGTATGAGCAGCTTGGAGGAATTAAGACATTAGTAGGAGGAGTAGTGTTTATTATATTCTTATGTCTTTTTCTGCCTTCTTTAATTCCACTAGTGGTCAGGTCCCTACGTAGCATTATAGAGAGTACTAGAGAGAAAGACAGCGGCTCATGTAATGGCTGTCTATAGATATGATCCCCTAGTCCAAAGAGAATATATTCAGGATGAGGAATGTTGACGGAGTTTTTAAGATGCTTACAAGGTCTACTCTGGATCAATGGCTACTTGAGAGATGTAGGTAAAAATGTGATTGGTGATGCATCTGGAATAATGTTATATCAGAGGCATCAAAGGGGGGAATGTGATGGGATTCCAGCATGGTTAAAATTTAGTAGGCCAAAATCTCCATGTGGCATATGTGTATGTTGTGTCAGTTGGTTAGCTACATGTAGCTAGGATACTGTCATCAGTGTACTGAGCATGTGCAGGAATGCAGGAACTGAAATTGCACTTATTTCCTTTGTCTTGGATGAGCCATGTGGTTTGACTAGATGTACAAGTCTATATTCTGCTCATTGATTGGTCTGAGGAATATAGGAGGGGTTATACTGTATGGGAGGAGATATGCAGTTAACAAAAGTCCCAAGCCACAAGTATATGTCTCTCAGAATGTTGGAACAGGAGTTCATCTGAGACCCGATCGGTAATGTGAATAAAGGCCTGTTACTTCCTGAAGACCTGTGTCCAATATTTCTGTGTTTGGCTTCTGCATGCTTACACTGCAACATTAGGAAGCATGTATTTATCACAAAATGTATTAACTACATATTACATGTTAAGCATTCCTAGCATTCCTATACATGCACTCTGTTTCTGAATGTTTGTACAGCAATTTAACCAAATTTTTCAGAGGCATCCTGTAGCCTCCATCACATTCCCCCCCTTTGATGCTTCAGAACCTGGATATAGGTATAGGCGTGCGCACGGGGTGTGCCGGGTGTGCCTAAATGCACAACACTCCCATAACAAGCATACAATCCCTCCTCTCTGCCTGGGAGATAATTGAGTCAGATACCATATTAACTCAATTATCTCCAAGCAGAAAAAACACGTATTTCTAAAAAGTCCCAAAAGTACCCCAAAACACATAATATCACCTGATAGCCCTGATCTGGGTGACCAACATATCCAAAAATCACCCAGATCAGTTCAGAAATTCTATGGAAGTTATTTATTTGATCGACCACAGGCATGGTCCCATTGCCGAAAATAGTTCCATAGAATCACGGCTAAGTGCCGCTGGAGGACTGACCGGGATCAGGGAAGTTTTCATGCCAAAAATAGTTCCAGGGCATTCGCGGCTAAATCCCCCTGAAGTCTATTCGCAGTTTTGGTTCATGCGAACAAGATGGCCACCAACTTGTGGTTGTCCATAGGAATTGCAGCCACCCCGACGAATACTTAGACCACTGTGGTGGAAATTGCAACAATGTATCAATTAAGCTCCAGGGTGGTCTCCGGTTCTTACGCCTGTTCGGTAAACGAACCATATAGTCCCAATTGCACGAACAGAGCCTGTTTAAAGTATTTTAGCAAGGTCTATCGCAAAGGTCATAGTCACCGGGTAGGAGGCTGGCAAACAGACCCCTCAAAAACCTGTGACAAGGTCCAGTTTGTTACAGAGAGTGATTAGGTCTCCCTTCTCTCCAGACTATAAAATTACCAGAAAGGAAATAATAAAGAAGTTGCTGGTTCCTGGACCCGGGTGTGTTTACATCATGGGGTACCCTGGGACGGGGATCCAGGGGTGAAGTAATTCTCCTTGACAAACAAGTGGCACCAGAGAAACAGCAAGAATCCAGGAGCCCGTTTTGAGATGCAGCCCACTGTTACGGTACCTCCAGTAGTAAATGCACAAACCGCCGTTTAGTGAATCCTCCCCGTTCGCAATAATGTGGTCTGGCAGCGTATGCAGTATAACCATGCGAACCGCCAGCCAGGGAACACTCCAAACTCCCGAACGGTACCTGTACGGCTCCTTCCCTTCACGAGCTCCAAATGCACGAATCGCCAATAGCAGCCGAACGGCAATAGTTTCCAAGCGGCAAATAATCCCAATAACTTTCTGTGTTTTTTGAAAAAATTATAAGGAAAATTGGTAAACAGTGTTAGCCTAAGAATTAGCAGAGAAAGAAAACAAAACCATAAAAGCAGTGACAAGTAGTGATGTCCCGAACGGTTCGCCGCGGACTCATCTTTGAGTAAACTTTGACCCTGTACTTCACAGTCAGCAGACACATTCCAGCCAATCAGCAGCAGACCCTCCCTCCCAGACCCTCCCACCTCCTGGACAGCATCCATTTTACATTCATTGTGAAGCTGCATTCTTAGTGAGCTGTCCAGAAGGTGGAAGGGTCTGGGAGGGAGGGTCTGCTGCTGATTGGCTGGAATGTGTCTGCTGACTGTGAGGTACAGGGTCAAAGTTTACTCAATGATGAGTCCGTGGTGAACCGTTCGTGGCGAACCATTTGCGAACCGTTCGGCGAACCGTTCGGGACATCACTAGTGACAAGACAATGTGTATATAAACAGGATATGGTAATATGAACATTTGGATGGTGCAGAAAAACAAATCTGATAATGTTCCAACTGTATGGCTGTAGTTGCAAGACCCAAAATAACATAGCATATTAGCAGATATTTAATGATTTATAAGATATTCTTCAGTGTGATTTGTCCATCTCCCCTTCCCTCATGCCTCTCACCACAACTCATAAAGGGTTAAAAAAAACGTTATTTACTCAGTGCTCAGTCTCCTCCAACATCATCCAATGGGGTTGGGCTAATGTGCAAGCGCCACAAGCGCAAAAGGCCATCCCCATAGTAAAATCATTGCTGCAATGCTTTCCTAAACATAGAAACAAAGAACATGGACACAAAGAACATAGAAATGAAAATAGAATGTAATGGCAGATAAGAACCATTTGGCCCATCTGGTCTGCCCATTTCTCTAAATAATTTCATTAGTCCCTAGCCTTATCTTTAGTCTTATGCCTATCCCACGCATGCTTAAACTCCCTCACTGTGTTAACCTCTAAAACTTCAGCTGAAAGGCTTCTCTCCGGTCTCACACACAGACACTGGAGGAGCTGGGGCAGAACTGAGTGGGCATATCTACGCTCCTTATTACCACCAGCTAAAGATTTATGTAGTCAGAATTGAATGAGTATA